TTGGTACACTATGTCAATTTTATAACCCAAGATACTTGCATTTAAAATATGTTCCATCATTATGGGACACCCTGTATATTGAAACATAAGAATGTATATTTATACTAGAAAGAAAATTATTTTCAAGAAAGCAAGATAGTAGATGCTGAAAAAAAAAAAGCTATGAATTAATTAATTTATTTATTGCTATCTTTATTAGCATATTTGTGAAAGAGTCATTACCACTTAAGAATGACAGAGACAAAACTGCCTAATTCTATTCATCACTTTTTAGGAGTTATAATAGTATTATTGGATATCAAGTCAAATTTCTTGTTCAAAAGAATCAAATAGCCTTTTAGTATTAAAGAGAATGTTGCTTAACTTACTGTCATTGAATCCAAAGTGCTCAGATATGAAGAGCATCATGATCAAACAAAGTTCTATTCATGTAAAATGTGCCTTAAAAGACAAAATTAGAACCTTGCTTGATAAAGATGCTCTTCTTTCTAGCTGAGTCAAGCACATTAGACATTTTTTTTTTTTTTTACAGTGAGATCTACTCTGTACAAGGCCCGGGAGCCACTCGAGCTAGAGAACCCTAAACTTGAACAGATTAAGATTGTAATGATCTGAAAATATCTTCTTGAGAGTTGGTTTCACAGGCAGTTTCTGCTGCAAAGGGGGACAGTTTTGAATCCTGCTGGAGGGTGCATTTTCTCTAATAAGACTTCTCAAATATTAAAGCTGGTAGATAAAATATTGTTTAAAATAAATGGAGTGTCTACTCAAATATAGGTATCCATTAAAAAAACGTTTAAAGTAATAAAAATGTCAGATTGATAAATAAAATCCATTATTTCTTTAAAAATTACTTTGTTTACATTTTGGATACAAAACAGCCATTATGATTTTTAAAAATCTGAACATGTAAAACGTTAAATGGAACCTTACCAAATCATTAACTTATTGTGTAATGTCCACATGTATCCAAAAGAAATTGCACTATGTAATAAATATCTGTGACATAGTGACTATCACATAATAATCAAAATGTGATATATTTTTTTTTAATGAGAATATACAGGATGTTCAAGTGTATAGAATAATTTGCTTAGATAGCAATAAAGTAACCACAGTGAAGTATTAATTTTTCTCAAAGTGTATATAATGTATTCTTATTTGAAAGCAACAAAAATAAGTTAAAAAAAAAAAACTGAAAGAAAGATGATAAAAATTCAAAAGTTTGGGCAATGTCTAAACCTTCATGTCTAAAAAAAAAAAAAAAACAACAGCATGTCAAAAAGACAGTTATTCCCTTGACACCACTATTACTTTTGCAATGTTTATTATTCTTTGTTGTCATTCTCAAGAATAAAGAAAATGTTTAACCCATTTTCAGGTTTAGATTTTATAAAAAATTCTAATCATTGCTAAAAAGCCAGGATTAGTTTTACACATTTTTATTTTGATAATTTCCTAATTTTTTATAACTTTTTGAATAAAAAGATTTTTCAAAATTATTTCTTTATTAAATAGTAAATAAAGAATCTTTACAAAAAGGTAAATAATGAATATCGCAATGCACTTGGTTCACCTATTTTTATAATCTTGTAAATAAACATTACAGAGGGAGTTGAAAGTACATACAGTTCTTTCTAAAGTCTACTTCAACTCTATTCTTCTAACATCTCCACCTGAACTCTGAAATTTTATTCATTAATTATTTTTTCTCTCTCACTAGGAGTAGATAGATTCATCTATCATCCAGTTCACACTCCTCCTCATTCTTTTGAACAAGAGCAAAGGTTTACCCTTTGTTCCCTGTTTAGGATTGGGTTTCCAGTTCCTTCTAAAGATTTTTCATTTTCTTATGTTTTCTGAATCACAATAATCTTGACTTCTTCAAGTCTAGAGTTAACCATTATCTTTCCTGCGGAGCCCCATGAATTTAATTTCTTGCACTTTCTTACACTGATACAACACCGCACAGTAATCCTCTAGTTTGAGTGATTCTTGAGCCTTGTATTGGTGGATATTAGTGTAAAAAAAAAAAAAAAAAAAAAAAAAAAAATCCCTTCTACCTTTATTTGTAATCTCAGCAGCCTAACAAACAGCTGTAAAATAACAACTTGAAACATACAATAAAAAAACAACAGAAAATAACATGGAAGAAATCTTAGTGGGAAAAAAAAAAAAAAAATCAAAAACAATAAAAATGATTCAGCCAAGAAATTCAAAGACCATTATCAGCTAAATTTAAATCAATTCCAGATTCATTCCAGATAGATTACTTAGAAATCTCTTTGTAAGTAATCTAGAAAACAGAAAACCTTTTATTCCTCAGATTTCTATCCAAAAAGAAAAACTCACAATGTAATGATAGAGTTAATAAATTCTGAGAGGGAAATAAAAATCTTATTTTGAACAGGACTATTTTTTTTTATCCAATAAAGTTTCTTCTCTGTATATCCAATAATTAGACACCTAAAAAAAAAAAAAAGAAGTTAAATTAAAAACCAAAATATTGTAAAAATCTTAAGGATTTCTGAATATACTTCAGTGTTTTATTTACACTATTTACAAATATTTATTGTCCTCATCTTTGTTGTTTTCCCAACGTTTCAGTAATTGTGCCCTCTGGCCTTCAACAGGTGTATATTGATCCAGGCAACCTACAGGAATTCCAAACTGAACCCTTTATTTAATATAAAGGAGTTAGTTGTTCTTGTTCCACTGCTCATGTTTAGAGACATCTATTCTAGTTCTTGTTTTTAGTACTGCTCAGTTATTCCTTGCTGTGTTTCCATTTTCCCCGCGAGACAATAGTCTAGTGGACTAAAGTGTTGGTTTGCGAATTTAATCAAAATATGCTTTCCAGTTGAATTTCTGAGGAGTTATCATTATTTACACTATTTACATTCAGACTATTGTTCTCGTTTTTGATGCTGTTACCACGTTTTGGCCGTTATATCTTTCATCAGGTATATATTGATACAGGTAACCTACAGAACTGAAAAACCAAAATATTGTAAAAATCTTAAGGATTTCTGAATTCCAAACTGAACTCTTTATTTAATGTACAGGAGTAGGCTATTCTCATTCCACTCCCTATGTCTAGGAATATATTGTCTAGTTCTTATTTTTAGTACTGCGCGGTCACTGCTCACCCAGTTTCCACTAAGTTCAAGTACCCACTGACATGCATAGTTCTGTGGTATAGAAATGGGCTAACATTTGGAAGGTCTTACATTTTATGAAATGTTATTGAGGTTCATAAGTACACAAATATAACTTAGAGACAAAGTATTATTTTCTTCAATAGTATCACTCAATCAAAATTGATTGCAGTCAGGACAATAGAGTCAATACTTTCATTAGATGCATAGTATGTGCTTCACCAGGGCTATGATTTTGAATTCAGAGTTATCCTTTTCCAAGACTGGTTACCACCCAAGGCTGAAGAGTTCAATCTGCCTTACTATTTAACCTTTAGCTGGGGGGGGAGGATTCATACATTTCCTAATATTATTTGTGAAAAAGTGAATGTATCAAAACTCGGCTGGAATGTGAACTAGGCTCTCAGATTTCTCATCCAAGATACTATCAATTTACACCCCCCCCCCGCAGATGAGGTTAATCAGGGTAAACTAATAGAAAATTACTAAAATATCAGTAAAGAAAATGATGGAAGTAATGTTGGCCAATATTAAAACTTTCAAACTAACTTGCATAATTATATCATTTATTTGAATTTAAGTGCAGTACTAGATTGGCGGAAAAGTCTCAGCATTTTACATTTGAAATGGCTAGATGTATCCGTAAGTTCTATGCTAAGAGGTTCTTTTATTGAACTTCTTGCTTGTGGAACTCTCTTCCTACTTCTTGCTTCCCTGTCAATATTGATCTTCAAATATTTAAATGCAATGTCAATTGTCATCTGTCTACATTCCTGTTCTTTTGTCCTTTCTCCTTAATAATAGGATTTTTCTCATATTCTCTGACACTCAGTAAATCCTTGCATCCTAATAGCTTTATTGTCTTCCTTGGGGGGAAATGATAAAAAAAGAAAAATTGTATGTAACAATTTATGCAAACAATTTTACATCACTTGATACAAAACATGACTAACCAGTTCAAACTGTTTTTATTTAATATGTTCCATATTGTAACCATTTATTTTCAAACTTGTCAGTCCATATTTGCCAAATACTTACAAATATTTGATGATTTAAGAACTGTAGCATTCAAAAAAGAAATATCATTTGTTAAAACATTTTTATTAAAAGATACCAATTCAAAAAATTAAAAATTTTTTACTACAATCATTAAAAAAAAAATAACTTACTGAAACATTATTTAAATTCAAATTTAGAAATAAATATTACATATAAATAAGAGATCTATTTATATTTCTGAGATGAGGTATTGTAACTATTAACACTATTCACATTGTTTGAACTGTTGTGCTCACATTTTTGTCATATTCATGTTTCAGCCTTCTTCAGGTGATATATGTTGGAATTTTGAACCAAACTGCGGTAGATTGTTCTAGTTCCACATACCAGGCCTTTTCTGGATATCTCAGCTTCAGTTGTCTTCCTTTAGTAACTCAACTTTCTAAGTTTTTTTTTTGTTCACGTCTGCTGTGGCCAGGTATTGAACTCCATGGCACGTGGAATGAGAACTATCTAGGGTTAGGTTTGAGATTCCAAGGTATATAACCTGACGAAGGCTAAAACGTACAATGGCCAGAATGTCATGATCATGACAATAAAGATGAGAACAACAGTCCAAACAATGTGAATAGTTTAAATAAATAAGAGATGTAAATCTAAATTTGAAACATTTAGAGTCTTTGTATGATCTCTGTTAAATATATATTATATATCTTAATATATATTAAATATATATTATAGGTTATATATAAATTAGGCTAAAATACTTTCATAACAGTTATATGCTACTATTCACACTGTAATTCGAACTGTTTGTTAATTTCAGCCAAGATGACTTCTTACCTGTAATTGTTCAGACTCCCATTTATCAAGATGAATCGATTTGACGCGGCTAATACCTGTTGTAAGGCTACGGTGGATACCAGCACAATCCTGGCATAAAAACACACCTAAAGTACATGATGCCCAATCTGGATCTGGGAAAAAAGAAAACAAATTGGTGGCTTGAAAAGAAGATTGTGGAAAAATGGGAGTTATGGAGGAAGTATGTTATTGTGAAGCAGAGCAAAATAATCCTAAAGAAAACATTGTATTTGAGGGTTAACATTATTAATCACTTTTTAGTTCAAAATCTAATCTTACTGCTGAAATATGAAGTTGATGCAAAAGTTCCAAGTGTCATCTTTTGAAAAACAGTAGGGAAACAGAAGTGTCTGAAGTTTACTCAATGCTTTACAGCTTGTGCAGTCAACTGTACTATGTCAAACTGTAAAATGTAAAATTCCTGAGCTGGAACGACAGAATTATTATTTTACATAAATTTGCAATGCACAGTGGAGTCAGTCATTTATATGCAAGTGCTATGACCTATATTGCTGCAATATATCATTCTATAAATAATGACATGGGGTATTTTTCATTATGGGTCACAGTACTGCACAAGTGCCATGATCTAATTCATGATACTAACCTGGCCAAACGTCACCACAGAGCAAATACCCACATGCGATATTAGCATATTAATAGCATGGCATGCACCATCAAGGATAGTAAAAAATAAAAGGTTTTTGTTTAGTAATTAAGTTTGATTATTTTTCAAAATGAGTAAACAAAAAGCTAGCATGTTTGGTGGGTGCACACTTTTGGCAAAATATAGAGCTGAAGAGCCAGCTTTTTGTGACGATTTTTATCATGATGGGGAGAAATTATTTTGCAGTTTTTATCAACACACTGTAGATTGAACTGTGGATCATCAGAAATCGCTAAAGAACAAAGATGCCTATATGAATAGGCTATATATTTGTATAATTTACTGTTTACACACAAGTTTGTTTTTCAAGTGTTTTTATGATTTTGAAACAAAAATGGAAATTGAAATTTACCATCACAGAAGAACATTGAGAATTTACCACTCCATGTTAAACACTTCTATCTTCCCGTCTTTCTTTCATTTTCTCACTGAAACAAGTAGCATCTTTGATATGTCTGAAGGAATCAAAATGGAATAGTCCATTATTTGAGGTATTAGCAGGAGATGTCAAAGACTTCTATCTTTCTTTTTTCATTGAAACCAAGTAGCATATCTGATGTGTCTTTTGTCTTTCCACACAATTGAAATAGTCCATTATTTATTAGGTATTGGCTGGAAGTAACATTCGTGCAAACTGACAAAAGAAGGGAAAAAACACAATTATAGGATTCTTTATTATAAATTCCTGGAGCCAAGAGAAATTCTTATTGTACTACACTAGGAAGCAACTGACTTGTTTGAATGACACACTGAAAGAGAAAAGATTTCTTAATTTCAATCCATTCCTTTGCTCCCTGAAAAAGTTGAAAATCAAAACGAATTCATATAACGAAATCTTTTTTTAATGACAAAATATATGAAGGAGTGCTGAAAAGTTCTTGGCTTGACCCACTTCCCAAAATTTGACCAAACATCAAAATTTATTTTTGATTTCATTTTTGGTCAACCTGAAAATTTTCAGCATCCCCTCATATAACTTGCAAAACAGTGTGAGGTAATGCCTGGAAAAATTCGAGAAAAGTACCAGACTACATCTAGTCTCGTACTTCTGCTATATATTTAGAGATTCTTGATAAAATACAAAAAAGTATCTACAATGTTATTGGTTCTGCCATGGCATTTTGGTTTCAGTCAGTTTCCTACAGCCATAAAGTAGGTTTTCTATAAATACTTTTATAATAATTGTTCTGATGATCTTTCATCTATGGTGCCTGGAATTTAAGTGCAAAACTAGATTGGTGGCAAGGTTTTATTTTACAGTTGAAATGGCTACATGTAACCCTAAGTTCCATGCTAACAGTTTGTTCTCTCACACTTCTCGCTTGTGGAAATTTTTTCCAGCTTCTTGCTTTCCAGTCAAATTTGATCTTCAATATCAGTTGTTATTGTCTGTTCTTTTATTTTTCACTGTAATAATGTTTTTTTTTTTTTTTGTTTTGTTTGGGTTTTTTCATTCTATCACACTCAGTGGCTTTATTGCCTTGTTTGGGGTGAAATGATCCCTCCACCAAAAAAAAAAAAAAAAAAAAAAAAAAAAACAGTCCTCACTTTTCAGTCTTGAGTTCAAAAACGCTTTAGAGTCCTTGTTGGAGAAAATGATTTTCCACACTCTCACCCTCTCTCACAGGCACAATGTGGCAAGCCTCTCACTGCTTTATCGCTACTTCCATGAAAAGTGCTCAGTAGAACTACATTCCTCGATTCTGCCAGGTCTAACCTTCATGGCTAGGACTCGTCATGCCACTTATATTGTAACAAACCACCCACATTCCGTCTGTATTCCATTCACAAGGAGGAAGTTCACCTCAAACAGCTTCTTCCTGCAAACCACCGCCCTGTGGGACAGACTCCCAAGAGGATGCTTCCCTGAACACTACAATCTTAATCTGTTCAAGTCTAGAGTTAACTGTTATCTTAACTGCCTATCCATATAAATCATTTAATGCAGTTTTTCAACCTTTTTAAGCAACGGCATACCTTGGAGCAAATGAAAATATCATGGCACACTTAGCAAAATTCTTAAAGGTTATATATTTAAATGCTATGAAATAAAACCGTAGATTTAAAAAAAAAAATATATACATGAACAAATATGAACTTACTTTATCCCAATGTTTCTATTCAACTATTTGTGCAGCTTATTTAGTATGAAACCATTGCTAATTACACACACCCACACATATGCCGTGTGGTTGAGAACCAGTGCCTTAACATAAACCTCTACCTAGAGTGGCACTCGAGCCTTGTACAGAGTGAACCTTACATTAAAAAAAAATGCTGGAAACATTTTGCATCAAATAGAAATCACACTAAAAATGCCTTCAAAAGATGAATATTGCCTTGCGGAATTTAGAATGAACATGAGCAAGGGTATGAATTTTATGAAATGTTAATGTTTTTGCATTAAGAGAAAGCCTAATTGAATGATATAAAATATATGGATTTCAAGTAGGGAGAAACTGAAAATTATAAAATGGAATTAATCTCATTAAAAGCTAACACACTGATTTTCAAAATACTTGACAAATATATTCCCAAATGTTGCTTTTTAAAAGTATCTCAGTTGGGAAACGGTCATTCTTGAAAGTGAAAGATAATGTCAAAAGAATTTTCAAGTGGCAATTATATTGTCACTTTCTTTTTGTGTCATTCAGTGGCTTGTTAAGTTTCCTAATATGGACATGTAATAAGGAAAGTGATGTCAATTCAGAAAGCACTTTTCAAGTGCTACTCTTTTGACTCAGGAATACATGAAGTAAGTTGAGTAAAAATATATACAACCACAGAAGAGAATCAGTCAAAGCAAACCTTTCTAACTAAAAAAGACATTTCTTAACTGTTCATTGCATCTCTAAAATTTTTCTCTTTGTCTATAATAGAAATCTTTATAAAACGTTACTGCTCTTCTTTGGTTTGCTGACAGTAAAATAATGAAACTGATCTGCCAATATAGTAATGCGTTTAAATTTATAAAGTCTAGGTACCAAAAAGGAAAGTAATATTAATTTTGTATAAAACAAAAATGTTGCACAAGGCTAAAGGGGGGGATAGAAAGCTGGACTTCAATTTGTTTTATCTTAAACTTAGCTAACGACAATTACTGACCCAAACATACCACAGTATTCCTCACACCAAAACAACACATTCTTACTCACCATTCTTACTACAGACACCATAATACCTCAAAATCTCTATATAGTCACATTTGGTCTGGTGATTCTGTCAGATATCTCTCTAAACTCTAGACAAAATCCAAAGAATTGTCTGTAATGTAATCAGTCCTGACATCTCCACTTTAGTCACTTTCCCCCACTACTGTAACATGGCTTCTATCTTTTCTATAAATATTTTCATGACAATTGTTCTAATGAGCTCTCCTCCCTAGCCACATGAATTTAAGCATACTATTAGATTGTCAACTTTATTGTTGAAATAGCTAGATGTAACCATAAGTTTAATTTCAATAGTTTTTCTCGCACTTCTCACCTGTTGAACTTTTTCCGGTTTCTTGCTTCGCTGCCACCTACAATCTTCAAAAATTTAAATGCAACATCACTCATCATTTGTTTTTGTGTTTTTTTTTTTCATTTCACCCCAAGCAATAAAGCCACTAAGACTCAAGTAGTTACTTAGTGTTAGAGAATATGAGAAAATAAAATACTATTAAGGAGGGAGATTAATAAAAGAATTAAGAAAACTGAAGATAATATTTGACATTGCATTTAAATTTTTGAAGATCAAATTTGACTGGAAAGCAAGAAGCCGGAAAAGAGTCCCACATGCAAGAAGTGTGATAGAAGAAACTGTTAGCATAGAACATCTAGTTACATCTAGTCATTTCAACTGTAAAATGAGATCTTACTGTCAAAGTTTTCTTGAATCCTGTGTTTCCTTTATTGTTCTGTCTCCTCACTAAAGTCTTCTCTCATTCTCACTAACACCTTGCATCTTAGTGGCATTATTGCCTTGCAAAAAAAAAAAAATGCTTACATTGAGGAATTTTCTAGTGATCCAAATCTGCAGAGAACATGCTACCTCATTGATGATAACTCACCAGTTTGCTATTACCATCCCACGAGTTTACTGAATCTTCTTTGCAGTGGTAGAGGTAGATGAGTGTCCTGCTCCTTGCTTATGCATCATGCTTGTTCAGCCACTTTTAAACTTCTCAATCCACTTGTACACATTTCTACATGGTAGTGCACCGTCACCTTATTGTGTTAAAAGCTACCATTGAATTTCAGCTTCTGACACACCATCCAACCAGAAAAATCAGATCACTGTTCTTTGTTCCTTGGTGAACACTGCAAGCAAAGCAACCATGTTTACACTGTAACCAACCCAATCAAGCTCAAACTTCAATCACGTGACCATAATAATGCCATTTACACATGGGCAAGTCAAAAAATTATCTTCACTTTCAGCATAATATAGCTTTGGGTTTGT